TTGTCGACAACCTGACGACCTCGGGTTTCGCTGAGAGAAACCCGAGAAGGATATCTCAGCGGACCCTGAACCACAGGTCGACACGTCGTGCGCTGAACCGCGATTACGGCCACGTGGCCTAATAGGGACGGCCGACATCGAGCCTAACAATCGGGAGGTGCCACGACGGCGCCGACGTGGCCCCGCTTCGCACCACCGGGTATATTTCGCTGCGCGCGAAACTTGGCGCGCCGACGAAAAATGTAACCATCGTCCACGCGGCGAAAGACGACTGGCATGTGTCCACCACCTAGATAGCCAGAGAACGCGGGGTATTGAGATGTCGGTGTCGCCCGAAGATCCAACCGCAGCAGCACGACCCACGCGGATGGTTCTGTGCGGACCAAACAATGCATAGGCGAATAGAGCCCCAGACTCAGGGAATGTCGGCGTCGACCAACCCTCCGGCCACGCGCCTACTCGCAGGTCGATGAGGTTTGCGCGGGAGAGCAGGACGCTACAGCATTTCGGGAGAGTGGAACTAGGTGATTGGCCTATTGCACGTGGCGCACGTGAATTCCACCGTGGCAAGGCACAGGCGGGAGTGCCGTTGAGCGCAGAGCGGCGTCACAGTAGACATGCATCGATCGTGACACGTCATGCACGTGCATTGCGGCGCTTGCAAAGAGGGCTGCGTGGAGCGCGGCAGGTGTGCAGTGGCCCGCAACCATACCCCTCTTTGACCACGCACAACGCTCTCATTCTGCCGGTTCAGCTTCGTGTTTCTCTCATGCTCCTGTGCGCCATCTGGCACTTCGTTTTCTTCATAGGACCCTCGCTATCTTTGCGGGTCTAGGTTACTCGACGGCCGAGTCGACCGAGCTGCGGCACTCAGGCGTCGACCTGGAATAGACTTAGGTCGGCACTCAGGCGTCGACGTGAATCACTTCCGTCTCTGGTTTACCAATCTTTCCCTCTTCCATGGCCGGCGGTAGAGCATACGAGCGGTCATGGACGACGTCGACATGCCCGACGTTGGTACCCCAACCGACCACAGTCCGTCCTCTGCCCCCGTAGAGACGCTGAAGTTGCTTTACGATCTTGACAAACTAGCTCAGATTCCCAAAGGCAAGTACACCAAGGACATACCGAATCCGCCAATAGGGGAGTTTACGAAGAAGTCGACACCGACGTCAGATGGGCAGCCTGGACCTTCGTCGGTGCCGGCCGGCTCGGAAAACCAAGGTGATGACGACGACGAGGACGAGGAAGAGAGCGACGACGAAGTCGACGACCGTCCTCCGCGTAGCACGAATCCGCGCACCTTGGAAGAACGCCTTAGGCGGGAATTTGAATACATACATGACATGCTCGAAAAGGACGAGAAGGAGGACAATCAGCACATGGCGGTGCCGCGCGAAGGGTGGAAGGCGACGGACTTTGTAGTGGACGACATGGTGTACTCCAGCATCGACGTGCTCATAATGGACGCCCTACGACACCTACAATGCTTGGAGAAGGATAGCACGCTCAGGCTGTACACCGCGTTCATCTACCACTACAAGAAGTGGGCGGCGAAGATGCTGAAGCAGATACGCGACAAGCTACCCCATGAGCAGCGACTTAGGCACGTCGACGAGATCGGCCACTACATCCGCGACAACAAGAAAAAGGATTGGTGCAACGAGAAAGTGGTCCGCCAACAGTACATCTGGGTGCACGGCCCTAGGGTCACCGAAACCCGGCTGCGCGCCTACGTGAAGCAAATGAGCCGTGAGTGTAACCTCATTGTTGACCAGCCCGGGGAGGAGAACAATGCCACACGAACGGGGCCTGTGAGGTCGACAACTGTGCACACGATCCTCGGGCGCCATAAAGGCATGCCAGATGGCGGCGAGGGTGGAGGCGACGCTGTACCGAGAGAAAGAGCTGGGCATCATGAGGGAGATCTCGGTGGTCAGATCGGAGGTGCGGTTCAACGTCCGCCACAAGAACGATAGGGACATCAAGTAAGTTGGTTGACAACCTTATTCTATATCACTGTGCACTGTGAAGTCGGCGCAGTCTAACAGATTATCCCCGCCGATTTGCGTTCAGGAACTGCGCCGACCGTCGACGCGGCACCATCGGCGATACCTACACCGCCGAGCAGTTCCGCCAGATCATGATGAGGGTGCTGCCGACATGGGCGGCGGCGGCGTGGAACCCGCGGGCAACCACTCCGTCGCAGACGCTGTGGCGATTCCTGCTCGTCAAGGTGCTCACGCTACTCTCCCACCACTCTCTCCTGCGCGGCGCCAGCATCCGCGAGATCACGCTACCCGACGTCTTCTTGTACCACCTGGCGAGCACCTCGGAGGTGAACCCGGATAGCCAGCCGGTCGTCATGGTGATCGCCGCGCGTAACTCGAAGACTTCCAAGGATGCCCGTCTTCAGCAGAGCTACGCGGCGCGACACCTGGAAGCGGAGCTGTGTGCCGTCGGCGAGACCGGCCTGTGGCTGCACTTCATCCTCGACCAGATCGGTCAGTTCTCCGGCACCGACTTCCTTCCGCCGCTTGACACCACTGAACGCGAACGCTGGTACAAGAAGCATCTCTTCTTCGCCAAAAACGACAAGGAGCAGGAGGAGCTGCCCGCCGCCACCCACCAACGTTGGACTCGGCAGATGTGGAGGACAAACAAGGTGTTCTGCAAAAGGAACGTGCACGCCGCCCGCGCCGGAGGTGCGCAGGAGCTAGCCATCGGAGGGACGCCGCGCGCCGAGATCGCCGAGCTGGGACACTGGGCTCTCGACAAGATGATGCGTGCGTACATCACGGCCATTCCCGTTGGGGTGGTGATGCGGAAGGCCGGCTACAGGGTCGAGCCCTCCGACAAACTCCTGGACCTGCTCGCCGAGCACATCTTCCCCCGCGTGGATGCTATGCTGCGCGATGTATGTCACGCGACGCCGACAATGTTCTTCAGTCGTCGTGGCCTAGTTGGCTGCCCAACTCCCTACTAACCCACGCCACTTTCCGACTTGCAGGCGGAGACGCGTGCCGTCAACGGGAGCGACGCCGACAAAGCCGCAGTGCACTTCTTGTGCACCCTCGTGATGTTCCGACGCATCGTCGCCGAGGACCTCGCGGTGAAGCTCGTCCGCACACCGTGGCACCCGTACGTCCAAGGTTCCAAGCTCTGCAGGATTGCCCTCTTCCAACACTGGGCGAAAAGGGTCGAGTCGGTCGACACCGATACGATCAAAAAGCGCCGGGACCCGACTCAGATTCAGCCGGAGGTGAGTCGCCGACCATGTCGGCGTCGTTGAATTCTAACCGGTGAATTCTAACCTCTTGTCGCCTTTCCGCACACTCAACATTGCAGGAAATATCCGTCCGCATGGACACCCAGTATCACAACATGTCCCTCAAGGAGGCGCTGAAGAAGGAGGTCGAGCGCTCGGCGCTCGAGAAGCTAGGCCTTCAGGAGACGATCGAGATGCAAAACGACACAATCGCGTCGCTCACCGCCGAGCTTGCTCGAGTCACCGAGGCACTCCGTGTGTCAGAAGCCCGGAGGATGCCGACGGCGCCGCCGTCGGCGACCGAGCAAGCTCCGGGCGAGGGTGGCTCCGCGGATTCGGCCAACACGGTGACCGGAGCCAAGAGAGATGATGGGAAACCCCCGCCACCCCCCCAGACGGCAGAGGAGGCCAGTTACGAGCTCAACGTGGTGCAACCTTGGCGGGATTCAAAGACCGTGCGGGACGCTTGGCGCCTCTGGAACTCCGCCACCGCCAATGATACCCGTCGTCTTTGCGACAGGGTCGCCGAGCCGGGGCTCATCGACCGCCACACCCTCCTCAAAGGCGCGACCCAGGGTGCACTCAACATGAGGGTGCGCCGCATGCTGAAGGCCATGGATGCGGTGCGCCAGCTACGCGCGAGCGACGGCGATGCCGACACCGAAGCCGTGGTCGATGCACTGAACACGATCGCGGCACCGGGCATTGGGACCTTCTGCGATGCCCTCACGGTGCTCAACCCGGAGATGGCACCGACGATGTCCAAGGAGCCTGGCATGGGCGTCAAGGGGCTTGCCCCCGAGGTGGTCTCGAAGCTACGCCTCGCCTGTGCGCTGGTGGCGCTCGAGCTGAAGGCGACGACGTGGGTCGACCGCCTGTTTCCAGACACCTTGGTGGTGCAGATGCCGAAGACCGTGGCCGACTTGGCCAAGCAGACCGCACCTGCGCAGCGTCTTCCGTCAAAGCGCAAGAATTCGGCATGAAGATCCTCGGTGCATATGTGTTAGCGTAGGTTGATGATGCCCTAATTTAGCAAACCGCAGTGATCCCATCGTACTTGTTGATGGTGATGCAACACATACATCCGAACCAGATATGTCGGACTCCGACATAGTCGCCACCATGTGTGTGCGATTCATTGTGCCTTATTCATGTCGACATTGCTGACTGCATGCAAACGGCGCCGATCACGCTATAACCGAGCAATCATACCACCTAGCGCTCCCTCCGCGTGCCGACTACGCATCCGTGCTGTCCATGCCCGCTCGATATGCGCGTCAAACGGCACATCGATGCCGACCTCCTAGAGTTTCGGCCAACTGGGCGGCGCGGCACATTCCCCAAAGCGCCGACCATTGACCATCTCGGTCTAGCCGACGAGGCTCATCGCCGAGTATATACATGCATACAGCCAGACGCACTATGTCGACACCGTACGACGCCGAGTTGTTATACGCCGACGGGGTTCATCGCAGTGTCGCATTTGAGTAACATGGTAGAGATCAGGTCGACCTTGTCGAGGAGTGTTCTAGTAACATGCACTACCAAAAAGTTACAGCCAACAAAAGAAATACGCAACCACAAACGAAAAGAAATCCCAACGAAAACTATACAATCAAACGAAAAAAATCCCAACGAAAACTACAAAATCGACGCTGCCCATACCAGGCCATCCTAGCAAGAAGACCTACTTGCGCTCCCTCCTGCCGCCCATGGCAGATTGTTATGCCGACTATGCCGTCGTGCTATCCTTGCCCGCTCTGCCCTTATTCCCCTTCTTCCCCGAGCTGTCCTTGCCCTGCTTGCCCCTCTGCCTCTTCCTCCCCCTGTGTTCGATATCGTACTCCATCTGCGCGTCAAGCGGCACCGCGATGCCGATCTTCCTGAGTTTCGGCCCATCCACGGGGCACATTCCCCAGAACGCGAGGGTTTCCACCGTCGCTTGTGCGATCAGTTTGGCCTCGGCATCAACATCCAACCCCGGATAGGCTTTGGCCAGAGCGGTGGACTCCAGCGCCGGTGCGACGTTGTGCGCAACCTCCCCGAGGGGTTGCTGCCTGCTGATCGCAGCCTCCAGCACCGCCGTCATGACCTTCTTGAACTCGGCGGCGGTAGTCTCGCTTGCGCCGACCAACATCGCCGCCGCCTTCCCTTCGCGCACGGCATCAGCCACCTAGGCGCCGTCGCCCTCGACTAAGCACCATAGGGCGCAAGCGGAGGCCGATAGCGCCTGTGCGACCTTCGCCGTCGTCTCATCCGTGTCGCCCTCCTTTCTCGCCGCGGATGCAGCGACCTTCCCATACGCCGCGCACAAGGACACGCGATCAATCATGGCCGACATCATTGCATCCGATTTCTGCTTCCCTTCCTTCGTGTCGGCATCGATGGGGAACCAGATCGCGGGCAAAAGCGCGTCGTGGTGCGCATCGCCTGATGTCTTGTACGCTCGATAATTCCCGAGGATATCATCGAACCTGTCACGCAATCACACGAAACTGGCCGTTAGGAACGCCGACGTCGACATCATCGCTTGGCCGACGTTTATCCGACTTACCGTGTCTTTTGGAGGAACGCGCCCCGTGCCCATATCACCGTCCACATCCCAGTCGGCAAGAACCGGACTTCTTTCCACACCGCCCTCCACTACTTCATCACTGTTTCCTCCAAGCCGGTGAGCTCGGCCATGAGGATCTTGCTGACGTAACCATCGTACAGGAGGTACACAATCGAGTGAAGGTACGCCAGCTCCATCTTCTCGCGGGACTTGCCGATGTACCTGCTCTCGTTCCCGACCACCTTAATCTCGCCCACCCACCCTTGCTTGTCGCTCGTGGTGTCGTGGCGGATGCCATGACCCTTCCGTTCTTTCACCTTCACCTTCTCCTCCTCCGTCGCCGCCTTCTCCTTCTCCACCTCCACCTCCTCCACCTTCTCCTCCTTCTCCTCCTCCTCCTCCTCCTCCTCCTCCTCCTCCTCCTCCTCCTCCTCCTCCTCCTCCTCCTCCTCCTCCTCCTTCTCCTCCTCCTCCTCCTTCTCCTCCTTCTCCTTCTCCTCCTTCTCCTTCTCCTTGTTCTCCTCCATCTCCTTCTCCTTCTCCTTCCCTTTCTCCGCCGCCTTCTCCTTCACCATCGCCGTCGCCATCCCCTGTCCTTTCTCCACCGACTTCACCATCGCCGACGTCGCCCGTGTTTTCTTCTTCGAGCTCGGCCTCGCTTTCCCTGCGTCGGCCGTCCCCTTCCGTTTCGACTTTCCCGCGCCGACCGCAGCAGTGGTCGTCTTTGGCTCCGCTGTACAACCGGTGGGACTCGCCGAGTCCAAGATGGCCAGCACAGGGGGCTTCTTGGGGCGGTTTACGGCTTCCAACAGGTCCTGGATGGCAGCGATATCGGCGTCGTTGTGGTCCTTCGCCGCCTGTGCAGGGTCAACTGATCTGCCGCCCGTGGCTAGCGCTGCACTCACGCCCTTCTCCGCCACCGCCTCGACAGTAGCCGCACCGAGTGTGTGTGCAGCTACGGTCACCGACGTCAGTGTCGCGCATGAGCTGGATACCGGCTGAGCCCGTGCGGGCGCTGCCGCAGTACGTGCGCCTAACCGGGCGCGAAGCAACTCGGACTTTGGGTCCACAGGAGGACGGGCGGCGATGATAGGCGCGGTAGGTGGGGCACTGGACGTTGTGGCGGCAACCTGGGGAGTGACCGAGCGACGTGCTGTTGTGGCCGGCGCGGTACCGACCACGGGAGGCTGCTGCACGTCCTGTCGATGGGTCTCCATGCGGCTGAGCATTTCCCTGAGCGCGTTCGCCTTTGGGGCGGACGGACCAGCGCGGTTAGCCGCAGCATCCACCGCGTCAACCTTGGCGGCAGACGTGCCTGCTGGTGCTGGAGAAGCCGCAAGGGACGTTCCATCGTTGTTGGCGGCTGACGGGGCGATCGGCGCGCTGCTAGCCGCAGGGGGGTTGCGGGGGATCGACGTGGTCCCCGCCACTCCGCCGGACGGTCCCTTGACGGTTTTGGCGCCGCCATCTATCGCCGTTGGTGCGGTCGCTAGACTGGCCGGCTTCTCGGCGACCAATGGCGGGGCTGTTGGTCCAGCCTCTTGAGCGGCAACCTGGTCGGCAGGGCCCCCCTCCGCACTCCTGATTCCATCGCCCTTGCTGTGCGTCCTTATCACCTTGGCCCCGTTCTTCTTGAGCTGGTCGACCACACTCGTACCTCCGCTCCCGTCGGCTCCCTTGCTCCGCGAGCCGCCTCGACCCACCTGGCCGACGCCGCGGCTCCCATCGGCTCCCTTGCTTCGCTTCGAGCTCAACGCATCATCTCCGTCGCCCGCCCTTTTCGCACCCTTTTTGTCGGCCTCATTGGCCGACGGCGACGACCCATGCCGACCAGGCGCCAGATGGCCGATCACCTGGGTCATGAGGTTTAACCCGGACACAACAAACGACTGCTGGGTGGCCTCAATCACCGCCTTCAACACGTCCGCCTTGAAAGACTTCATGAGCTCGTCCGGGAAGGCTGGCGGTGGGGCGGGCGGCGTGGGCGGCGGGACGGCGACGCGTTGAGTTACCGCGGCGGCGATGTTGGTCTGCGCGGTGACTAGGTGCTTCGATATGTATTCCTCCAATCCCTTCCTCGCTTCGTCCACGTGGTTGCCCATGGCGACGACCGCGTTCGCACGTTGCACTGCCATAAACCCCTCCGGATTCTCTAGATCGTCCAACCAGCACTCCGCCCTCTCGGCGTACGCCTTCATCGCATCCCATGCTTCACCCATGTTGGCGGTGATGTTCTCCGTCACGGTCGTCGCCATGGTCAAGGACGCGTCCATCAGCCAACTCGACGCGTCCTGGTCTGAGGCGGCGACCTGGTCGGCCAACGACCTGAGCTTGTCCACGAGGCGGCCAATCCCCATCGCAAACCTGTCCACCCGACCCCTCTCCACTCCGAGCGCCGTCTAGAGACGAGCATTTTCAGCCCTCAGCCACCTGTTCTCCTGTCGCAGTTGCGCGACGACGGCCGGCGTTGCCTGCCGACCAGCTGTTGGGGAACCCGGTTGACGGCCCGCCTCTACCGCTCCACCCCGGCGTTCCACCCCTGCGTTCCCTGTGGTGGTCTCCACGCCCGTCGGCGTCGGGGCCGCGGCGTTATCCTCCTCCTTCGCGTCGCCAACCACATTGCCGACCACGTGCGCCTCCTCCACGCCGACATTCTCCACATCGGCACCCTCCCCTCGCACGTACACAACATCCGCCGACATCCCACCCGTTCCCTCCACGGCCACCGCCGCTCCCTCCACGGCCACCGCCGCCGCTCCCTCAACATCCTCCATCTCGAATTCGACCCAGGGGAACTCTACCTCCTCCTCCCCCTCTTGCTACTTCTCCCCCTCCGCCACCTGCTCCACCGACCCGAAACCCTGCTCCACGGCCTCCACCGCCGCCGCCTTGTCCTCCTCCTCCTCCTCATCCTCCTCCTCCTCCTCCTCCTCCTCCTCCTCCTCCTCCTCCTCCTCCTCCTCCTCCTCCTCCTCCTCCTCCTCCTGCCCATGCCTCTGCTCACGCTCATCACGATCCTCCTCCTCCTTTTCCTGATCCGCGGTCCTCGCCACAGACCTTTCTGCCTTCTCATCTGCCTTGTCGACGCCGTCTCCGGCCTCTCCGCTGGTGTCGGCGACACCGACTGCTTGGGATGCCGAAGGGGCCTCCGCAGCGTCGTCGTCACAGGCATCGGCAGCAACTCCGACATGGCCTGACCATTTTCGTGCGACGTGTTCCTTGATGTATGTGATCATCCGAATCCGCAGCTCCTTCAACCCCGAAACGAGGACCTTGTCCATGCTGGTCGCACTGCGACGGTCGTCGCCAGTCAGGCGATCCATCCTCTTCACCACCCAGCACAGCGCGCTTATTGATAGGAGTCCAGAGCCTGCGTCGCTGTCCCGGACGGTGTCGCGCACTTTCTGCAAACAACAGAGCATAGAGCAAGGATGAGCACCAACGGCGGCAATGGCATCGCGCTAGGACGGTAAAACGATCTGTACTCACATCTCGAACGGGTTCATCGCAGTCGACGAGCCTGTCCGCCACCTCTTCAGCAGAAGGCTTCGGCCACTCCCACTGCCGGCCATCGCGGCCGAGCTCGGCCAGCACCGCCGCCCGGAAAAACCTGAAGCAACATGGCACATATCGTCAGTAGACTTGCTTAACGCCCAGCGGCGAAATTGCATGCGTCGTCGACTACACTATCGAGCTCACTTCAGCACGCGGATCGCCTCGTCGCGGTGCCACTGCTTCACGGTTTGCGGGTCAAAGTGCCTGACAGAGGTCCTGATCGTCTCCCCCCCGGCCCGCAACAAGTCACCTGGGTACAGGATGACCACGACGCTGCAATGTGCCCCTGGAAGCGGTGCGATGCTGCACAAGCTAGGCACCACGACGTCGATCAGAACGGAGCAGCGACATAGGCATCATGGCACACCATCATGACTTAGGCTCACCTCGAATGCAGAGGGATAACAGCTACGTCGGCGTCGAACACCGTAGCAAAGCATGAGTGGTCTTCCTTTCCCATCGCAGCCCGAAGCCGGCCGAGTCCTATCGACCACAATCGCATGTTGGCCGGCGCCGCGCGAATCCATGCGTACCTGCACGCATGCATGGGTAGTAGATGTGTTTGAGGACGTGCACGGCACGACGGATGGACACGTGGGTTATGGAACCGACAACTGACGGGGATGGCGATAGTAGAACGGTGCACCACCGTCGCTACGTTGTAATCAATGGCGCCTACCGATGCGGGCACCGACCTACTGTAGTAGTGATCGCAGTCCAGTGCTGACCTACGGCTGTGTGCGTCACCGATTAGTGATCTAAACCCTAAACTAGTAGCGCCGACCAAAACGTAGGACAACCCTAACAACGTCGACCTGCAAGGTATCCAGCGGTCGACGTCGACATCCCAATACGGACACTCACTTGAGGCCGAATCCCAAGCAACGGGCGTTGAACTCTAGCCTATGGTCTACGAGGACGACGTAGTCGTGTTCGTCGAGCTTGGCAGTGAGTCCACTACCCAGGTCGAGATACAGAGGGAAGTCCTGCGAAGTCGGCGTCACTTCGCCGACTTTCGGGGCGGCCGACATGGCGGTGAAGGGAAGCGGCTACAGGCTAAGGGACGTGAATGTGGGAGAAGGCGCAGAGCTGGGGAAAAGGTGGAAAGGGAAACGAGATGCCGAAAATGAGGAGCGATGCCCCCTTCCACCAAAAAAAGGGGGTCGGTGCCCCACAGGAACGGTCGAGGCATCGCCCGGCCCTCGTGGTGCCTGCCTCGGCGGGGTTTGGCGGGCTCGTGCACAAGTGGCACAAGTTCTCATTCGCCGCCGAGCCAGCAAGTCGATGTCACGTCACGAAGCGAAAAATGTGCGCCGAGAAGCGATCGAATTCGCAATGTCCCAAATTGAATTCGCCATGTACCAAATTTTGCATGTTGCCCGATGCGAAGTAGGCGGGCGAACACGTGGCGTCACCTCAACGGGTCGCAAAGTTGTAGAGTGTCCCGAGGGGGCCCCGACTTTTCGCCTGGCCCTCGCCTGCCCGTCCGGGCAGGCCGCGATGGGTTACTAGGACATCGCGGGCAGGTGGCACGTGTGGGCTGCCTTCGCGCGAGGGTAATTTTCCCACGCGCGAGCTGTCGCCAGTTCGCCGACCCCACCCAGTAACGTGGGCCGCTGTTCACATTCGGAGGGGGGCTGCGGGGCGGCGGTCGTGCGCTCGGCCCAGCCCTGGGCCAGGCTGGCGGGCCAGCACGCGCGTAAGTGCTCCGCCCCCTCAGCCCAGCCTTTGACGACCCCCCTCGACGACACTGGCAATTCGGCTCCGTCGACCTTTTTCGGCTGGGATGTTCATACGGCGCGGCTCGGGAAAAACCCCGCCCACGCCTTGGGATGCACGGGGCGCGGAGAAATCGCGGGGAGCGTGGGGCGAAGTCGGCCACCCAGGATCCCACCAGGTTTGGACCTAGCGCGGCCCTGCGTGGCTGAGTGAAACCCACCAGGCTGCCACCGAAAGCTCCGCGGCCCCCAGAAAACCGAAGGAACCCACCTCGTTCTTACGCGCCGATGCATGCGCGACTCGGCAGAAAACGAACGCGATTGGTCGGTAACATTGACGAGCGGGACATCCCGCGCATGCAACCGCGAGTTCGCGACACGAAAGGAGTGCTGCTACTGGTTGTGCTCTCTCGCAACTTATCGGGAACAAAATTCGCACAAACATAGGTTCGTTAACCCGCACAGCGAGATCCGGTTCGGTTACAGCTGGCGCGATCTGGTAGGCTCCATGCCAGCTGACACGTGCCGCAATTTGAACGAGCCACACAGCTGTCGTCGTTTCGTCGATGCGCGATCGCGGTAACGTGTCACGCACGTCCACGCAGTGTCCGGTCATTACGCCGAGCACGCCCACAGTTTCCACTTTCCGATCGCCAGTTGCACACCAAGCTCTACCCCCTCACGACCCACTGGGATACACCAGACACCAGTATTGCGGTCGCGTTGTGTGCCGCGCTAGAATTTCCGCGAGCACATCGGTCGCGAGGCTGATGCGTCTAACTCACACCCGGGTGGACGACTAGTGACCGCGCATCATGTTGACGCACGCTGTGAATACGAGTAGGTGCAATCTCGCACGCCGCATGCATATCGTGAATCGCGTTGCGGCGCCAATACTTCACGACTCAATCAATGCTTCGGGCAACACAACCGCGCATCAAATCCATAATGCTGAACCACCTACCGCTCCCGTGCATGGGGTGAACGCGCTCAACCCCACATGGAGCACCCCATACGTGCAGCCACTGGTTTTTGGGTCCCGGACGCCCACGTTTCACCCACAGCAACTGGTCAACGGGCTCCACCTAGCACCGCGGCCACAAATACCGTTTGCGGCACCGGCGGTCGCGTTACAGAATCAACCGGGTAATGCGGTCGCGTCCCCGTCCGTGCCCAGTAGCCAGCTCTTTGGGATGCCCGTGCGTGGCTTCGTAGGGCCGCAGTACTCGAACGTGGGATTCAGGTACGGGTACATCGGCGTTCAACCAGACCCCATGGTGCACGCATCCGCATCTGTCACGACGCCTCCTGTCGCGCCGTCAACACCATTCTCCAGCGCGATTCATCCGGAAAGCCAGCCAGCGGTGCAAGCCCCGCCAGAAGCATTAGTTGTCAGTTTGGACACACAGGCGCGAACAGACGGCCCATCATCGAACGCGGTTGCCGGTGGTTTAGGGCGTGCGGTGAATGGTGAACCGGGGGTGAATGCAAGCGCGCGTGCACATTCGCCGCCAATATGGAACGTCAACTCACTGTTGCCCGAAAACCCCGACGTCCACATCTGCACCCCCGCGCATCCGACTGTAGCGTACGCGACTGGTGTAGGTGGGCAACCACAGGGGAACGCGGGGAACGCGGGGCGTGGAGCGGGTGCAAGCGGAAATGCGGTAAGGGGAAGAGGGACGGGTGCGAGAGGGAATGCAGGAGGAGGGACAGGGGAGAGAGGGAACGCGGCTAGAGGGAGAGGTGCGAGACGAAGGGGTGGGAGAGCGATCGCGGGACGTGGGACAGGTGCTGGAACGAACGAGTATAGTGCGAACGGCCAGGGAGCGCTTGGGGTGACACATAACGGCGGCCGGGGTAGCGGTGTTAACGCAAACGGCGGGTCAGGTAACGGGCCAGTTAATAGACCGCGTATAAAGAGGCGGAGAGTCGATGTAGTGCCGCACACGGCACGCAATGGCTCCCGGGAGGGGAGCGAGGGGACAAGCGATGAGGATGACGAGGACGACGCGTACGATGCGGACGATAGTTGGAATGACGATGACGAAAACTACCTAACCAACTCGCTGTCCGCGCTCAACGAGGAGGAGGCGGAAGACAACGAACGGGTGCGGGGTACGCGGAGGGACATTGAGATCCCTATCGCAGATTGGAACAGGCTAGGTGTGGACGACACGCCGGCCGCGAAACGAGAGATGTGTTACGGAATCCTCTACGGTGTCTCTTAGGCCACGCTGAAGAAGTATCGCGGTTGGACCAACGAGTACAAGCGGTTCATGGCTCACGAGCTGCCTAAACTGGACGCGGGTAGGTTTGGTGATGAGGCCGCGCTGAGAAACGCGAACCCTGACGAGATTGGGGCCGCGCTCGAACAGAACATGGGTGGTGACTGGAAGATGGTGGAGAGCGACGAGCAGTGGTTCCACGGCCCTGAGACGAATCCGTGGCGCTTACGCAAATACGTGACCTTCCTCGCGAACGAGACAATCGCGCAGGCGGACAGGATGGCCACACTCAAGCGGCCGCAGAAGACCTTGAAGAAGAGACGCCAGTGCACCCCGGCAATGCTGATGGGGCGTCTCAAGGCTTTGAACCTGCTCATCAAGCTGGACGGGGCCATCTTCAGGAAGCCCGTTCTGAACCTGCTGCGCGACTTTGCGGAGTGTCGCATCTGGGTCCGCGTTCAAGTACGCGACCAATACAAGCGGTTTATCGCGTAAGTATACGTTCTCAGTGAACGCGTTTAATGCCTGACAATCCCGCGTCCACTAACACCCGCACTATCGTCCCAATCCATGCGCAGGGAACACATGGATCGCCATCGGGGCACGGCCGCGGACACGTACACCCCGGACGAGTTCAAGCATATGATGCGGAAGACCAGCATGGACGCGATCTTGACCAGCTTCACACTAGCCAAGAAAGCATGCACGCAGGCAATGCATCGCGACCTCTGCATCCGGACGATGACCGTGCTCGGTCATCACACTCTGGCCCGCGGATGCATGATCAGAAACCTGCAGCTGCCAGACATGATGATGTGGAAGCTAGGCGCAAAATCGGAGACCGATCCAGTTAGAAACGCGTTCATGTTCGTTTGCGCGTGCAGGACGGGCAAGACAAACAAGGACTTCTCGCTTAACTACATATCTGCTGTGAGGCACATCGATTGGACGATGTGCGCGGTCGGAGCCACGCTGCTGTGGCTGCACTGGGTGTACGACTTGGTTCCCATCCTCTATGAGGACATAGCTCCCCCTCTCGACTTCACGGAACCCTCCACGTGGTACGATCAATACCTGTTCTTCCCCCTTCGCGCGGGCAACGAGAAGCAAATACCGCCCACGACTCATCACGACTGGGCGGCGAAAATACTCCAAGACGCGGGAATCACATGCTCGCGTGCGGTACACGCGACCAGGGCTGGGGGGGCGCAGCACGCGTCCGCGGACGGAATGCCTTCGGATCAGCTGGCGAGGCTGGGGGGTTGGCGCTTCATCGACGTGATGACTAAGCACTACCTCACAACCATTCCAAGGGAGGCCGTGCTGCTAAAGGCGGGCTTCACCGGGGTTGACGGTGACTACTTCCTGGGTCGCGCAACTGTTCCGGTTAGCGATAAGCTGGATGAGCTACTGAGGAAGCACATTTTCCCATGGGCCGCCGCGGACAAAGGACAGCAACAAGTATGTGTGGTCCGCGCATACGCGACCGCGAGCATCTCACATACCACTCTGGCACCGCGTTCACTACCTTGTTGTTTTATTGTCACAGTGCAAGGATTACAACCGCAGGATGGTGAAAACGCAGAAGCCGGAGAACCAGGACACCGCGGGGCTAAACATACTGAAGGAGCTGGATGGGGACGCTAGGATGGCGGTCGCGCAAGACCTGGCGATGTATTACATCCACCAGCCGCGACACCCGTACGTGGTCAACAATCCGCTCTGCCAGACGGAGGAATTTGCGTCGTGGGTTGCAGATGTCTCATTGGCAAATCAACTCGCCATAGTACAGCGCAACACACCTACACTGACCCAGCCCGCAGTAAGTACTGAATGGTCGCGTTATGTTTCTTCCGTGATGTCAATGCCAAACCATAACAAGTTCGCGGTCGCTTTCTGTCCATGCAGGAGGTGAGTACCAGAATGGACGCGCAGAACCAAGTGATCGTCCTCACTGAGTACTTGACTCGTTCACAAGCGGAGAACACCAGACTGGGCCTAGAGTTGGTCACGACTCATAAACGGGTGAAAGAGCTGGAGGGGCTGCTGGAGGATCGCGATCGGAAACTGGCCGAGAAGGACGAGCGCGTGAATGATTTGGAGGCTCAGCTGTCGCGGCTCACCGTGAGCAGCTCAGGGCCGACCGCGGTTCCGAACCAGGCAACCACTCCTGGAGCCGCGGCCGCGTCGACCAATGCCACAACTCCCACCGAGCAGGGGACGCGAAAGAAACCCACAGCGCCCACCAGGGAACAGACAATTCGGGACGCGATCGTCCTTCCATGGGTCAACGCCACCAAACCGTCAGACGGATGGAAGCTGTACAAGACAACGCACCCGCTGATCCTCGAGAGTCCAGAGTCGCTTCTGGCCCAGCCCCGCGGCAAAGTTACGCGAATGGCCGCGCTCATTGGGGAGGAGGGAGGCGGCTAGAACGCGATAAACCGTGTTAAGCGAATCATGAACTTCATCGCCCACAGGGTGGAGCAAGGAGACGACATCGCGGTAGTGCTCGACAAGCTCGACCTCATGTCAGGTGCTGTGGGCATGTCGGGTGTATCGGAAGGGATCGCGGTAAAGAAGAAGAGTGTTGACCTGGAACTGAGCCAGCTGAAGAAGGGTTCTCCGGTGGAGGTGCAGTTGCGTGTGAAATGGATGCTTGTTCGCGACCGTCTCATCAATGCCTCACTTCCCGCTTCTGAGTTCACAGTCGCGTGGCCCCAGTACTGTGCGCTGATGCCGGACTTGCAGTGTTGATGTTTTGCGCGAGGATTATGCTGATTTACATCGCGGCCGTGGAAATCGCGGGCTGCAGTTGCCTAATGTACATAGATTGTTCGAGACGTAGTGTGTACAATGATAATGTGTGGGAATACCTGAGACGAATGCAGATTACTACTAAAATGGCACACGCACAACGCACCCACTGAATCCTACAAACCTACACATATTGTTCCAAATGTCAACACTAGGTTCTCACTCGCACACGCACACGCACACACACACACACCCACACACACAAACACACACGATTTACTACATGCACCAGCACAATCCACCGCGAGTAGAACTCAAGCATGGCGGGCAGGCTGTGCACATGCTACTCGATACTACACGCACTCAAGTCTGCTTCTTCAGACGATCCTTGGGCAGGGCAAGGTACAAACCCAAGGACTCCATCTGCTTCCCTGCCACCGAGCAGTTGCACCAGGTGATGATAACGTCCACCGTCTCGCGGGCGGCCAACTCAATGTGCCTGAGATCGCGAGACTTTGCCACGACCTCGTTCACGACTCCGGACACGATCGCGGCGGCGACCGCCTTCGGGTCCGCGACAACCTGTGGCTCATCTTCCTCGCGGCGATTGCGCTTCCGTACCGCATTGATGACGTACGCGGATACTACGGGGAAGAGACGGCTTCGCTCTCCATAGCAACCAGCAGCACGCGCGGCCAGGTTTCCATTATCCGCCGCGGCAGTGACATTAGAACCGCGAGTGACCTCCCACACCATTGCAATGGCGCATGCGATCGCTCCCGCGTAGTCCGTCGGCTCCACGTCGCCGAGATCCGCTTCTTCTGCTGCAGCCTCCTTGCCTACCACCGCGGCCCATGCAATCACGTTGGTGGTGTGCATTCCGGGCTTGGTAAGCCCGCGGTAGGAATCGAACATGCGTTGCCACCTGCCACGCAGTGGGTTGGAGCGGTCAGAACATAATAACATACCAAACCGTGTGAACGCACTAGATGATGGTGGATTGGCACAGCTCACCTGTCCTTGCTTGCCACGAGGTTGCGGTGGTGCATGGTGATTAAGAGGCCCGTATGTAACCCCTCTGCGATAGACAGGTCCGCGGCCCATTCTCGGATCTGCTTCTGGCTCAGGTTCAGCCCGGGGTCGACCTTCCCGTCGTAGGGATACATCGCGATCGCGGTCTTGTACTGCAGGTCTTCGCGGTTGCCGTGTCCGAACCATCGCTTCTTCCCCCCGAGATGGGGTTCAGAAACCAATCCGGGCCCGCCCCTGGGTGGAGCGCGGATGCCGCAGCCCTTGCGCTTGGGGCCGGTGTCACCATGTCCTCCCGTTGTGCCACTTTCCACGATCACGGGGTCTCCTTCTTGCCCGCTCGCGCTCTCTCCGCCGCTATAAATATCGACCGCGGCCTCCCCATCCTTCTCTCCTCCGTCGCCCGCCTCGACCCACCTGCTCACTAGACCCTCCAACTCCTCATCCGCATCGTCCTCGTCGATCGTGTACACGGGTGGAGTGGGCAACTTCTTGCCACCCCGTCCGCGTTTCTCCGCCTTGCCCTCGACCGAGGCCGCGATAGGACTTGCAGATGCCAGTGCGCTGTGCATATGTCCCGCGGTGATTGCAACACGAGCGGGTGCGAGCGTGGTCTGCCTGCCCTCTGCCGCAGCACCCGCCGCGGACTGGACCTCACGCCTCGAGGCCAGCGAACGCGCAGCAGCCGGCGCCTCTCCATCCTCCGCCTTACCCTTGCCCCGCCCCACAGTACTTATCACTGGCGCGGTTGCCCCGGCAGGGCCCGGTGGTTTGGGTGCAGCTTCTCCAGGTGGGATGGAGCGCGAGCTCGAACCCGGTTGACCAGTCAGTGCTGCACCTCGCGATGCAGCGCCCCACTTCTGCTTCAGCATGTCCTGCATGCTCGGATTGCGCACCGCGGCCGCTGCCTGGGGACCTCTCTGCCTCTTCGCCCTCCGTTGATTCTCCGCCTTCGCACCCGCTGCCCTCTTTCCATGCTCTGCATCCCCGGGCTCGGCAATCTCCGTCGCGGCCGTTCCTTCATTATCCGTGCGCGGAGGGGGGGCTCCTCCAACGAGCGCGATGAGGGTGTGCAGCGCGTTCGTGACCCCGCTGGTGGTGATTGCCCGCTCTGCTGTCGCGGAGACCGCGGTCGGCATGTTGTCGATCTTCCGCGCAACCTCGTCCGTCAGCTTCTTCTGAGCGGCTTCCATGGAATCTGTCACCACCCCCTGCAGCTGTCCCAGCCTCGCGTCCACTCGCCCCAGCACCACCGCCTCCTGGTTACGGGTATCGACCAGGGCCGCCCTTTCCTGCGCGATCGCCCTCGCCTCCTTCTCCAACACCCGAACCGCATTAGCGAGCGCGGACGCAAGCTCCTCAGAGCCCACGACCGCGACCCCACCAACCCTCGACTCCTGGCGTTTCTTCAGCCGTGCGTTCTCTTCGGCCAGCTCTGCAAGCCTGCAGTCGAGCTGCAGGATCTCGGCAGCAAGCTTATGCGATGGCAACGAGGACAGGGACGCGTAATCACGCGGACCTGTCACGGGACTCTTGCCCGCGACCTCACCACTCGGGCCCGCGCTTCCAGCACCGGGGGCCAAGTGCTGCGCGAGGTGCTTGATGCTCTTGCCGGATGTAGCGGGCCTGCTGGATGCCGCTGCCGCTACCACATGAGCCTCCGCCTCCTCCTCGCTCGACTCCTCCCCCTCACGCGCAACAGCGTGGTCAGCCTCATCGCGGGTTGCACCCTTAGTCGCGGTATCCTCGGCCCCTTCGTCATCAGCGTGGACCTCCGTCCCCCCCCCGAGCACCTCCGTGATTCGAAACACCAGCGACACCTGTGAGAGCGAGAACACCATGGTCAGCAACCTACGCACCCGTAGCCTCTTTATGCACATTCCCCGTTTCAGCACCTTCAGCCTCACCGCCGTGCATGGGTCGTGTCAAGTCCACGCTCAAGTTGAACGCGAGCTCTTCGGCGGTGTGGTACGCCTCGTGCCGCAGTGCATTCAGAGTCTTCGCGGTTGGCCTCGAGAATTGCGGCCCAGATCCACTGGCGGCGACCGCGTCCAACTGGGCAAGGATCTTGTCGAACGCGAACAGACAAGCGATGTTGCCGTAGGAGCCCTTCAACGACGTCGCGTCCTGGAAAACATTACATGGGGTTTGTTAGCACCACTGCAACTATTGGCGGTCATCGAGAACACGAAAACAACACAGACGTACCAGATCCAACAAACGCTCGGGATCCTTAAGCTGGCGGGAGCGGGTGCACTGAATGGAGCCGCGCGCAAAATCCTCGTCGACGCGACCCTGAAACCACCTGCCCAAAAGCACATACATATCCACGCGAACGCATGGTTAGCGACATGAGCCTCGGAGCGGAAATGAACGTGGTACTGATGACAAACCAGAACGCGGCACTCACTCCACAATCGCATCAGCCGCGGTGACGTGTTCCGCACCACCAGTGGGAATAGCAACGCGAACGAACCGCGTGTTCCACGTCTCGTCACCGTCAAGCGACAGGTGGTCGGGGTGAGACAGAATGAGCATGCTCGCGTTCGAGCTCTTCTTGTCGACCACGTCCCTGAACGTGCCATTGACGACCGCGTTAAACCACTTAAACGAGTGCAATCCCTGTACAAGTGAACACTCCCAATGAAAACTCACTCGGACCAGATGCAGAAAACCACCAGGCTGCACTCCATCAAACCGGCAAAGGCTTGGTCCGCTTCATCGCGACCCGCGACTATGTCCGCGACAACACCGCTCGTCACTATTCGGACGTGCTCATGCACCTCCTTCTCCAGATACCTCCGGACAATCACGCTGTGCGGGACGGTGTAAAACAAGGCGGCAAAAGCTCAAACATCAACAACGCGACCTAAAAGCACAGCGGAGGTATGCCGCGGCCTGCACTGCCCACTAGTAACTATCGCTGACATGTCGCGAACAGCCTAAGCACCGCGACAATAACCAATGCGTGCACACTAGAGTCAGGGAATGGAACGCATGGATCTCACCCGGTGACAAAGTCGAACAGACGGGCCGTGAGAGGATGCTTATCCTCTGCGAGCAGCTTCCACTGTTCGGGGGGGAGGTCCACCGTGATCCCCGCAACAGAGATGATGGCCGGACAGGAGGCGGCCTCCTTCGAGCCAGCTCTAAGCGCCTTCATTTCGCGGTTCATTACTGGTTACGATCGCAAAAGCGCGACCAAAGCAACGGTGTATCTAGGACGAAACGTACGCGAAACAGTGCTCGCGTGTATCTAGTACGAACGGTTCGCGAATCTGTGCTCGCGGCAGAAAATGAGAGCTACGCTAGACGCTACCAAGCGCGAACGCGGTCAGACAGAGTCTCTGCTAGCACTAGGCGACGAGGACCTCAATGGGGAACGGGCGAGCAGGAAGAAAACAAGATGTGAAGACGGATAACGAAAATGAGCACCAGGTGCCCGTACCGAGAACCTAAGAGTGGGCCGGGATGGAAACAAGAGCCGGCACTCGCGGTCACACTGCGTGGGCCTCTCACCCAGCGGGGAGGTTCAGCAACATGCACGCTTGTGCATCCAACGTTCGCCACGTTGCACACCATCCGCGAGCCCCGTTCGGAGCGGGCTGCCAACTCCCGCGGAGAGAGAATTTTCCTCGTCGCGACCGCCGAGGTCCGAGGTCCGATCGGGCACACCAATTCGGGTCACCCGAATTAACAGTACACTCCGTTATATTACACGTAAACTCGCAACGCGTTAGAGAGATTTATAAGGAAAAAAATAGGATTTATTTCGTTTGATCATTTCGTTCGATCTTTCGAATGGCGTACACTCCGCTCCGTACATTTAATCTTTCCGCGAACGATCGTTCCGCGGAGGGTCCTGCGAGCATTCCGACGCTCGTAAACGACGGCGATTGGTCGGCTCCATTTCCGTCGCTCCGAAACCGGCTCCCATTGGCCGAATCCGTTTCGGCCAGCCCGAACTGCCA